TCCAGTTTTGTATCATCAGCAGACTTGCTAAGAGAACACTCTATGCCTTTATCTAGGTCGTTGATGAGCAGGCTGAACAAGATCAGACCCAGGACTGACCCTTGGGGAACACCGCTAGCTACAGGCCTCCAACCAGACTCTGTGCTGCTGATCACAACCCTCTGAGCTCGGCCATTCAGCCAGTTCTCAATCCACCCCTGGAGACTGGAGTGACACTGGCTTTCCTGCAGTCCTCAGGCACCTTTCCTGTTCTCCACGACCTTTCAAATATGATGGAGAGTGGCTCAGCAATCACATCTGCCACCTCCCTCAGCACTTGTGGGTGTCAGTGCCCACTTGTGTCATCCTGTCGGGGCCCATGGATTTGTGAGTGTCCAGTTTGCTTAAATGATCTCTAACCTGATCCTCCTCGACCAAGGGAAAATCTTCCGTTCTCCAGGCTTCCTCTCTTACTTCCAGGGTCTGGGAATCCTGAGGGCCTGCCTTAGCCATAAAGACTGAAGCAAAAAAGGTGTTCAGTAACTCCAGTTTCTCTGTATCCTCCGTCACCGGGGCACCCACCCCGTTCAACAGTGAGCCCACACTTTCCCTGGTCTTCTTTTTGCTGCTGAGTGTCAAGAACACTTAAAAACCCTAATTATTATTGATTCACTTCATTCAGTCCTAATTAAATTATTCAGATTGAAATGTCTATTACAACTGCTTAAAAACATATAGCTTCTCTGTAAAAACAACTCAAAGCTAAACCAGTACGCTCATTAGGAATAGTAACACTTTATTTTTAAAAGAGTACAGTTATTTTCCTGAATTTGCCCAAAAGCATTCCTTGTTTTCTTTCCAAGAGTATTCGTCCTCATAAATCTCCTGCAAATATAAACAAAAAATGTGAAATATTGTGGGAGTCTGCTACATACAGCCACAAGCCAGTCCAAACAACTCAACAGCCATCCTGCTATTATTTACTGATCACAACAGGACTACACAGCACTTGGGTGGCAAACAGAAAAGAGGGCAGCACCCTCAGAACATAATGACTTACACATAGGCACAAGGTGAACCTCAGGCTGAGCCCCATTAAATTTAGAAGGGCCAATCTATACTGAGGTAAATTCAAGAAAGAGACCTACAAGAAATCATGTAGAGGCTGTGGAGCACACAGCATTCATGTCTGAAACTGCCTTTTTTACAGGTTGCTGTGTTAATCTACTGTACTATCATTTTTAGAAGAGTATTTAAGGGTATACAAAAAGTCAATATTAAAAAAAATTAAAGTTATAGCAAGACTCAAAATACAGTAAGTATTAGATCTTCAGGACAGACTGCACTACCCAGCAGCAGCCCAGTATTAAGCAGTAAATTCAGCAGGGCTCTGAGCCCCTGATTATTCTTTCTGAGACCACAGAACTCCAGTCTCCTGAAAGAGGTGACCAAAAAATGGAGTAATGTGGAGAACATCACTGTTACCACATGCCAAGTTCTGCCTGGGAGAGAAGGCAGAGGTAGTGCTCATCACTTGCATGCAACACTGTGGTTATGCAAAGAGGCTCTTCCTAGACCTGGGCTCGTCTCTCCACACATCGTTGTTTGCCCATACTAGCTTTGGGACCTCTGCTCATCTCTTCACCGTGTGCTGTTGCTTAATGCTTTGTGCTTTCTCAAGGCCACAGGGATGAGGGGAGAACAGAAAGACAAGAAATGCCGCTTTTACTTGCAAACTACAATGCTGTCCACAGCAAAGCTGACTCAAAGTTCTTCGACAAGCCTGTGTAGAACTGAGTTTTGGCACCCAAAAGAGGAAAGCTCTGCACTCCTTCACTTTGACCCCAGGATGGCGTTAAAACGGAGAGGAGCTGGATGGCAGAGGCCAGGGACGGCCCTCCTAGGTGCCCTACCTGCCACAGATGGGCCTGGCTGCATTAGAGGAAACTCACTGGTGCTAAACATTGGCATCCCATCATGAACAACTGCTGCCTGTAATGCTTCAGGTGCTTCCCTCAAGAGCAGAAGCAGCAGCAGCCTTTAGCCCAGCTGTCTAAGACTCTGGCACAGGCCTAAAATAAAATTTGTCTCCAAACATACCTTTTTCCATATTGGAACAGATGCTTTCAAGGTATCGATGCAGTACATTACAGCTTCAAGGGATTCTGCTCTATGTGGAGAGGAGACTGCAATAATTACACTTGCTTCAGTTATTGGAACCACACTACGGATAGAAAAGGAACAGCAGTTTTAGCTAATGCTTAACATCAAGAGCACCCAAAAGCTGTGGCCATGTCACGTCAGTATTCTGGCCACAGGCTCTCCCGATTCATTCATACTGAGCAAGTGTCAAGGCACGTCCAAAAGATGATACACTTTTTAAAAGAAAGAAATCCACAACCAAAATCAGTACCAGATGGGAGAATTCCACACTTCAGTATAAATAAACCCACCAGACATATGCTTTTTTCTTCCATTCTTTCTTGTTTTTTAAATAAAGCCTACGGAATTAAGAGGGGAAAATTGCTAACTTGCAACAATCCATAGGAAACTCACTGGAAGCTGGCTTAATAATGAACAATAACAAGTTCTTATCTGAAAACCTACGAAATGATCTCAGTTTGCACAAGAATTTGTGAAAGAAGAAACTAAGTACCTCAAAATATGCAGATTTTGCAATGAAACATAATTTTTGACAAATTCTGATTTCAAATTATGAAGTTTTTCCTGTTTGGTGTGTTGTTTTCCAAACTTAACAGAAGTAGCACAGGGTTTTGTTTTCCTCCTCACAAGGGTAGTATTCCCAAAAGCTGCCTCCCAACCTTCCCTCTATAGTAAGACTGCTCTGGCAAAGAGTTCATAGGAAAAAATCTAAGCTTAAATGCTTTGAGCTGCCCTCAAGAGAATCACTCTCTCTATTGACTACAGAGGAAACCTAAGGAAACTACCCCTCAGAACTAATACTACCCTTTGCAATCACCTCCTAAGTTCCTTCTGCTGAGAGAAAAAGAAACAAGCATTTGCAACAGACTCTGCAAATCCTGCTAGTTTCAGTGGGAAATCTGATGAACCGGGAAGGCCCAAGAGCATATCAGACACTAGTATACCATGTTTTGAACTCATCAGAAAATGCTTATCCAAGACTCAAGGAACAACAGGAGGTTCTCCAGCAAGTATGGCTGGCCATTACCATGCCTCTCCCCTCCCCATAGTCTAAGCTTTCAGGTCTCCTATGGCATAATTTGACTTAAATCTGAAAATAAGAACATTCTGCAGCACCTCAAGGAAAGAGAGGAAAAAAGAAAGTGCTGCCAACTTCATGTCTTTTAAAAGACAAAACAAACCAACAGCCTACCCTTCCCTGGAATGAAATCTCAATCCCTTCTCACCACTTTCAAACCACCACACCAGCATCAAGGATCCGGCAGGCTAAATGCGGGCTCCAGCAAACACTACCAATACACACATTTTTCAAAAGACAATTTTCGAAACTTAGCTTCGCAGTGAGAGCTTGATCCTGCAGCCAGCTTTGCTGTATTACAAAGACTCCTGCACATCCTGCAACTATGTAAGCACAGCCATGCACCAGACAGTGATTAATATTTCATTTACAGAAGGACGGAGTCTGGCCATACTTACCCAAGTCTATGGTGCACTGCAATATGTTTGACTGACGGCCATTTCTGTCTGACATCTCTGCAGATTTTCTTTATTTCAGTCTCTGCCATTGAAGTATATGCTTCATATTCTAAGTGAATCACTTTTTTCCCTTCAAAATTATTTCTTGTAGTACCTAAACACAAATGATTTATCAACCAAAAGCACTGAGTAAATAAATACATATTATATACCTATTATAGACATCATATTATATATTTATTATATAATAATATATGTATTGAGTAAAACCTAGGATCTCCTGCTATGCTGCAGGTCAGCACTGTCCAAATATAAATGACCTCCCGTAATCATGGCTGAGTGAAAAGATTCCTTGAACAACAGAAATCTTTAATATACAAGGAAGAACTAAGTTTACACGTTATACAAGTCTGCAGTCTGTAATGCCCAAGGCTGGGACATTTTCTGTGGTGCTGAGGCAGTATTGTTGCATTTGCCCATGCAATGTTTAAGTGCTCAGTATTTAGGAGACCAGTAGCACTAACATTTAACCATAAAGGGGTTTCAAGATCTGTACCATGTACATTAAGCAACAGGATAGAACTATCAGCCTTGAATTTCACCAGCCCATGGATAAAATAGTACTTTTCTTTCAACCAAGATCTGAGTTACAGGAGCTTTCATACAGGTGTGGACCTGTGGTTTGCATAGCCACAACATCCCACTTCCCACCTTGAACAAGTGCGTCCAAGGGGATGGCAGAATAGCTCCCAAGCAGTCCTATACTCCAGAGCTGCTGTTCTGTTCAGCCCTAGGGCAGCCACACCAGCAGAGAAGCTTCTCACCACTGCAGCTGTTTAAGAGCTGCCATGGTCTTGTTCTAAATAATTCAGAACGCATGTTCTAAACATCCTGGGTTCAGTCCAGGAATTTATTTATTTGAGAAACACAAGTTTGGAGTGTGGACAACCCAGGTTCCATTTATTAGACTATTAACACAACCAGAGATCCAGCTCAGAAATATTAAACTCACCAATGAACAGAGACACTGCCCCACAGGATGGTGAAATAACCAGTTCTGATACTTCATCTACAGACAGCTTTTCAGACTTGAGCTTGATAAAATCTCTTGGCACATCTTTGCTTTCATCCATAGCTCACTAGAAAAGCTGAAACCAAACAGACTCTGTTGTCGGTTTTGGCAACACTAGCATTGGCCAACTGCTTTTTATCCAGTGCTGACATGGCAATTTATGCAGAAAACATGCACCATCTACTTCCTCACCCCAAGAGGCCAGTCTCCATGGCAAATTCACTTCTCAGCAGACTTGCTGAGAGAATACTAACCACAAATATCAAGCAACAATCTGGTTTTTATCGCATACAGGTTCCTTCCTGGGAGGAATATCTGGTCCAGTAGGATGAAACCAGAATTAGTCTGAGGCCCCAGTTTAACAGTACAATCAACCAGCATGGACCACTGTGCCAGTAAATCTGTGGTAAGTTGTCAGCCCCTCCTCCCTATCTTATCCTTAAATCAAATACGGTTTAAAACAAGAGATTTCTGAAAAACATGCATTAGAGTTCTAATCCTAAAGTTTAATATGCTGTCCAGGACATTCAGGATCTCATGCTATCAGTCTGTTTCAGTGACACAGGAGACACTTCTAATTTCTCCAAGTAGCAACCAGTCATCAGTTAGTCTAAGAATGAGGAGGAAAAGAAGTATTTTGAGCAGCAGCAATGGAACAAGCTGCAGTAAATACATGTCTGGCACTTGAAAGCATGCAAAGAAATGAGGCTATTGCAAGGACACTTGTTTCTTTGACAGCAACAAACAAAAAAAAGCAGCAGCCAATTCTTTTCCTGTATCATCTTTTCTGTTAAAAAGTGGCAGAAGGTTTTTCATTATTACCTTACTTAGGCAAGTTGGGTATCTACTGGCAGCCAGAAACAACTACAAAAGAATAACAAGACCTAAAACCCAAACTGAAAACAATGCCTGACCTCTCTGGCAATTTTCTTCCATTTACTGCATACGTGTTAATCATTTATTGGTGCACCAGCTTATAGTTTCTGGCCAGCACAATGGTTTTCTCCAGCAGGAAATGCAAGTTATGCTCTCCCAAAAGAGTAACGGGGTGGAGGGAGAGAACTGCAATCACATGTCTGGACCTAAACAAAAAAATATTATTGGAACATTATACAGAATCCACGAGATATTTTAGTACAGGATGACACTCCATAGGAAACTAATTAAGAAGTGATACTTACCTAACAGAACCTGGGCAGATTCAGCCTCCACTAATTGGTGGGATGATGGCAACCTCGTCTCCAGGCTGCAGGACCAGGAGCTGATCTCCAAGAAGCACGTACTCCTGCCGAACAGCAAAAACCACTTGATCCTGGATGACAGCAAGCCTGAGGAGGATTGGCAGGAGCACAAGTAGGTTTCTAAGTAGGGTGTTTGCATTTAACCAATGAGATTTCATTAAACAACAAACTGGTGTACAGTCTAGAGCAGGTGAGGTAAATACCATTGAGACTTACACAACTCTGCTCCCAATACACTTTCAAAAATACAACAAACACCCACCTCCTACTCTTGGAATTTCTTGTGGTGGCTAAGGAGAAGCCAACTCAGTAGAATTTTCAGAGGTTTGGAATTCAATTTGTCATAGGCCTACACCAGAATGAACCCACGTATACCAGACCCACTTCAGCAGCTTCTAACAAAGAAGTAGGTAACTCAAAAGGCAGTAACCATCCAATATGGGATTAGAAGGAAATGTTCCCCTGATTCAGTCTGGCTAGACTGATGCAATCTTCTTACACAGCAAGATGACTGTGGGATGCTGTTCCTGAGATCTTATGAAGATTCAGTGGTCAAAGAGTTGTTCTTGTTGTGTAACCTCACACAAGAGGCTTTGGGTCTTTTGTACTTACAGGTCCGAAATTTGCTATTGATAACAAGTGGCAACAGAACTAAGAGGGCAGGTATGGTGTGTTTTTAGGCAGATCTTCTGTATATTTTTTGATTTCACACCTGTGAGATGTTGCTGTGAGAGTCCACAGCTCTGGATACCATGAGGCAGGGAGTCGCTTTCAGGACTAAGTGCAATCACACAGCGAGTATGAGGGCAACACCAGTAAGGCACCAGAAAAAGAATGTCAGCATTTTACTTTAGGAGGTGCAGCCGTGATAACTGTTATTATTTGAGACTACAAGATCTGGCACAGACAGTGGAGAGCCATATTGCCTAGAAACAAGTAGGCACACCAAAAGGGTGCAAGTAAAAATCATCTCATTTCCTACTAGCCAGACAGACAAAAGTAGGCAAGGCGCAGGCTGAGCAAAACACAGTAGCACTGACTCAGAGGGCAGACTGAAGGGAGGGACTGTATGAAAGTAAAGCAAGCCACTGAGGAACTGAGCGCAACTATGGAACCGAAGCGCCCGTTAGAAGGATGAGCTCTAATTGATGTCACTTGCAAGTTAATCCATTGGGGAAAATGGGTGGAACACAAGAGCGTTGTCAAGTATGCTCCTGCTGCAGCTTGAATATCCATTAGCAATGTGAATAGAAGTCTGTGGTCAATGCCCTACAATTATGTTGAGTTTTTCCAGAAAAGCTAGGAGCAGAAGCATTTTCCAAGAAGGCTGTTGTGAAGGAACTGCACATTCAAAATGTAACGCCCCAAGTCATCACTCATAAAAGGACAAAATTGACAAACTATGGCAAACTGACCAAAGGTGCTGCTGCTGCTGCTTCTGATGCTGAGTAATAGGCTGCAAAGTGAAATACACTCATTCCCTACTGCCTCCTCCCCCAGAACACACTTAGTCTCTGTTCTCTGTGAGGAAAAGGCCCCTGGTCTAACATTTGGTTAGAGCTTCTCATTTGGAAACAGATGCCACTGCTAAATAGTTAATTTTTTTTCATAGCCTTTGAGAGTAGATCTAATAAGAAGGGTAGGGCCTAAAGGAACACTTTGGCAGCTAAGTCCAAAGTTATGGAAATTCCAGTGCACTCAGCATTAAATCCTGAAGACCTCAACCCCTGTTATACTTTGCTTTTTTTCTTACTCCACTCTCCCAAACACTGTTGCACCCTATCAGACTCATCCTTGACAGGACTGAGCACCTTCCCTCAGGCTTACCCTGAGCAGAGATTTCTGCTGACGCACCCAAAGAGCACCAGTGCTGCAGGGGTCCTTACAGCACACACCTAATGCTGTCTCAGGACCTCACCCTCTATGAAATACAATCAACAGTGGTTTGGTTTTTTTCCAAAGCAGGGGAGGTTGAAAGTGGCTGAGCCTACTTCCTGTGGAAGGGCTGAGTGGCTGGAAGCCTGTGGCAGGACTTCAGTTCCCCTCCTGACCTGCCTTCCCGAGTGTGCCGTAAGTTCAGACCAATGGCTAACAGTACAGTTAAAGATAAAGTGATTGAAAACACTTCACATTATCATGATCTTCTTATTTATTGCCTTGACTGTGCTTGATCCCTCCTTCAGACTTCTCACCTTCTTCACACATTAACAACACAGCTCAGTTACTGCATCGTGGCCCTCCTGAACAGTTGGCCACATGTCTTAAAAGTACCCCTCAGGCTTAACTTTTGTGTAAATTTATTGGATCTAATCTCTCCTTGTGTATACATAAAGCTACAGCATTTCCAACTGGCCAAAACACAAAATGCTTGTTGCAGGTTACAAGAACAAGGTAATGTCACGGTTTTTTATGGTATCAAAGCACTGATACACCTTCCAGCTCAGCTCTAAACGCTAAAGTTGTATTTACAAAAAAACCCACACACAACCATGTTAAACTTTGTGCGCCTCAGCAGTAACTTTCCCGAATACCTTGGGTGAACCTTGACGATCTCCTCCCAGAGCTGCAGAGAGGTGATCTGCCGTGGCACCGAGAGGGTCTCGCAGCGCAGCCCCGCCAGCTCCGCGCTCCTGGCGAAATAGAGCACCGAGACCTGCTCGGGGAACTAACAGGGGGACGGGGCCCTCCCGAAAAAAAAAAAAAACACAAACCAAACCCGCTCCTGCACATTAACTTCCCCGAAAATACCACAACAAACAATCGAAACCAAACAAGCGTAAGCCAACCTGGCTTTTTTAAAATGCCGATAAGCTCGGTCGCGTTCCTCGCGGTTGCCTCGCTTGACAGAAGGAGGGCAGGGAGAGGAGCGCGGCGGGG